AATTGGGGGTGCTGTGGAGGGAGTGAGAGGAGCCCCTCCCCAGGGTCACAGATAGAACTGTCTCCCTAAGTCACACAGTCACAGAAACAGGGTCACCTTCCTGCCCTCCCCCACAGCACATGGCCACCTCTTTTCCCTTCTGGGGGGGGGGGGGGAGGGCCTCACATTTGCCAGGTGTGCATCCCTCTCCACTGTGCTTCCCTGTCTCTCCACTCCTATCTGGGTGGGTTTGTCCCAGAAGACTCTTCCCATCCTTGCCCTGACCCCAGCCCTCCCCAGCCCTCTCTCCATCTACCATTCAAAACCTCCCCCACTCCCAGCCAGGGCTGCAGGGACGCACCTCAGGTGTGGGAAAACAGGGACTGAAAGAAGGGGAACAGGGCTGGGCTGGGGGGAGGGGGGAGCAGTCAGAGAGGGGGAGATTTGGTGCTGCCCGGAGGTAGGAAATGTCCAGCAAAGGGGCAGTGGGTGGCTTTCAGCCTCTGAGATTGATGAAGGGCCTCTGTGTGTGTGTGTGGGGAGGGGGGGCTCCTGGTCACCCCTAATCAGAGATTTTTATTAATGCAAACATGGAGGGGCTGGGGAAGCAGCACCATCTATTGAACTCTGCCCCCCCCCAAAAAAAAGAGGGGAGGGGGGCTTAGAGCAGCCAAGTCCAAAAAGGATTCAGTCCCATTCCCAAAGGTAGTTGGCTAGCTTTTTTTTTGGGGGGGGGGGGTGTCTCTTTCCACTTGATATCTCTCCAGATCTCGCAGTGACCATCGCCATTAGGTAAGGGGAGAGAGTCAATTAGTGGGAGGATTAATTACTCGGAGGCACGAGCCCCGTTTGTCTTCCTTACGGGGTGTGTGTGTGTTCAGACAGGGGAACACGGGCACGCACCCAAATACACATTGTTGTCACGCCGTCTTAGACGTTTTATTTATTTGTTGGATTCCTGCCCAGAGCCGCTCGCACGCTTTTCCACGGGCGCCGAGTCGAGTCTCCCATCCAGCACACCGCCTCCCCTGCTCCCGCCTCCGAGCGCGCCCGTCACACCCCCGCCGCGTCCCTGTCCCCAAGGCCTGCAGGCTGATGGGCCTGAGCTCCGAGCCTGCCCCGCCGCCGCCTTATTTTTATTTTATTTTTATTTTTTTGGTGGTTGTTGTTGAATGTCTTTCCCCTTTCTTTCCCTCTACTCTTCCATGGATTTCCCCCAGCTCGTCTTTTATCATCGGGGCTCACTCTTCCACACTCCGCTCTTTCCTCTGGTTTTCCCCCCTCCTCTCCCCTCGCTCCCCCCTCCCCTGCCTTCCCCGGCCCCCTCCCTTCGGAGGCCCCGCAGCACCGACTCGCGGCGGAGATCGCCGCGCTCGCCTGACCCCGCTCCGCTCTCCGCGCCCCGGAGCCGCCAGCCTGGTGGGAAGCCGGTGGTTTCCCGGCCGAGCGCTCACCGTGACACCCGCCGGATGCCCCCCTTTCCTGGCCTCTGGATACACCCCACCCCCACCCCCGTCTCCTCCCCCGAGCCTTCGCTTGGGAAAACCTGGCCGAGGCCAAGCACGTAGTGGGGCGAGGTGACAAGCCCCCCCCCGAACTTCTCTCCTTCCGTCACGTCCGACGGACGGGTCCCCGAGCAAACCGTCTCACTTGGGGTTCTTCCTGGGGGGATGGAGGGGAAACAAGGAGATAACGCCGACCCCCGCTCGCAAGGCGTGGGCCAGGGCACCTCGGGCTGCACACAATAGGTCGTTTCCAGGAGAGCCGGGTGGAGTAAGAGGAAGGCAGCCCGAGGCGGGAGCGGCTGAGAGAGGAGGGGGCAGGGATGGGAAGGTTCGGGCCAGTTTCCTGCGTGGCCTCCGGGCGTCCTCGCCGGGTCCGTGCGGTTGGCGTGGTCCCTGGGACGGGCAGCGTCCAGGGCTCCCTCCTCCTCCTCTTCCTGGCCCCGCGGCCTCTCCGCCCCGTGCCAGGGGTCGTGGCTGGATAGGAGCGCTGAGGGCGAGGAGGGACAGGCGCCGACGGTGGCCGCTCTTGGGAGATCAACAGCGGAGCAGACTCGGGTCCTGGGCCTCAGGAGCCACTCGGGGACGTGGGGGTGGGAGGCGACGTGGGTTCGGAACCAAGAAGGCAGCGGTGAGAAAGGGGCGTAGGGTAGGGCTTGTTCAGACCACTTCTCCCTCCTGTTTGTCCCCACAAACTGCAGAGCGGCCCGGGGAGGGCTGGCAGAACCCAGACAGTCCCCGTTCCCCGGCTGGATCCCTCCTCTGGGGCTGACCCTCCGGGCGCTTTGCTCGGGAGAAAAGCCCTTCCTGTGGAAACCGGCTTCTGGGCCTTCCCCGAGTGTGTGGGGCGAGGTGGGAGCACCCTGGGGCGCCCAGTCCAGAGTTTAGGGGACCCGGGGAGGTGCGGGTGTGCGCAGCGGGAAGGTTGTTGCTCTCCGCGGAGCGGCCTTTGGTTTAAAAGCAGAGAGAGCTGAGCTGAGCGGCTTCCGAGAACTAAAGCTCGCTCAGTCTCCTCTCCGTGTCTCTGTGCCCAATTACATTTTAAAATAAAAACCCAGTGGAAACGAAGAAAACATCAATCTGGTGTGCTGTCCCCCTGGAGGCGTTAAATCTGGACTTTCCACCTAGAATCCAGGGCCAGGAGGCGCGCCCTGACCTCCCCGTAGACGCTTGGGTTGGTTCCCGGGGCCCTGTTTACTAGCCATCTGGACACGGACAAGCAGAGGCCGCTGTCCCAGAGCCCGCATCCTGGCCTCAGCCTCTGCCACGCTGCCCCTCTCCCCCAGGGAGGGTTCCCTGAACCCCCAGATGGGTGCAGCCACCTCCTCCTGCCCACCCGGACGGAAGCGGCGTCGGGTGTGGGGTTCAGGAGGGGCCCGCAGCCGGGTCCAGCTGTCACCTCACAGGTCCCCCGCCGACCGCCCTCCCCAACCCCCCGTGGCCCGTCTGCTTTGCATAAGAAGAAGCCCAGCTGGGGTGGGGGCGGTGGCGAGCCGCTGGGACCGGGTCCGCTATAGATCCCAGAAAGGGGCGGTTGGGTCCTGGGCGCTGGCGGCGAGAACCCGGACAGCTGGGGGAGGGAGGAGCACGGGGGCCGCGGGGCTGCACCGGCCCCTCCCCGCGACCGACCTGGCGCGGCGGGCCCCGCGGGAGGCGGCGAGGATCTCGCGTATCTCTAGCGTCTCCTGGGTCCTGGAGGCCCGGGTGCGGGCGGACTTGTTCCTCCTGAAGTGTGGGTCCGCAGGGGGAGCACACAGCCGCGTCCGAGCCTCCGGAGCCCGCGGGCTGGGCTGGAAAACGGCCTCCCATCCCCGGCTAGCCCCAGAGATAACCAACTCCAGCACCGCCCTCCCCGCAGTGAGGAGCCCGAACCCAGGGGTGTGTGTGTGTGTGTGTGTGTGTGTGTGTGTGTGTGAAGGGGTGCGGCGGAGGCGGTAGGGGCTGCGCACCCAGAGGTCGGGGTGGGCGGAGCGGAGGTGCGCGGCGGGGCCGGTCTTCCCAGGAAAGGTGGCCGGCGCGAGGCGGGGGCGGCCCGCAGGCCCCGGGCTTGAAGGGTGGTGCGGGCGGAGACGTGGAGGCAGACAAGGGGCGCTGGTAGAACTCCAAAATCCCAACCCCACTAAGGCTCAACCCGAATTCGCTGCAGCCGTTTGCCGGTTCGCCCGAAGAGGGTATTCTGTTTGCAAAGGGCTTCGATTCCTTGCCCCCACCCTCCCCAAGCTCAGTGCAGGTGGGGTTCAGGGCTCATTTTCCCCTCGTGAGGCCCGGATCTTGTATAGGGATGGCTGACCCTGCCCCTCCTGTGGGGTAGCAGGGCTAGTCCCCAAATGCCGGCTGGACCGGGCTGATTGCCTGTTTTTTCCTTTCTCCCACGCTAGGGCCAGATACTCTTCCCTAGCACCCCTTCTCCGGAAGAAAAACAAAATAAAACAAACAAACAAACAAAAGGGGGGGAGCAAAACAGCAGGACTGCCTAGCTTTGCCGCCTTCAAATTTCACTTGGGGGGGGGGGGGAAATCCCAGGCACGGCATAGGCACGGTGCCCGAGGAAACGGAATTTGGTGTTTGACTGGTATGGGCCAGGGAGCCAGGCTGACTCTTTGAGGCTAAGGCTTTTGGGACCCCGAAGCGACTCCCATGCCCGCGATAATCCGCCCCCGTGGACAGTGGTCCGGAGTTTATACTCTGCGCGGGAATTGGTGAAGGTTTTGGGGCTGCTCCCTGAGAGCGAACACGGGAGGGGATGCACTGTCGGCGGTTGTCCGGGAAAGTTGAGGCCAGCCCGAGGCCTGGAACAGGGGAGGCTCACCCTGCCCCTGCGCTGCACACCCCAATCCACGGCCGCCTTCCCACCGACACCCCCACCCTACTCCCACCCCCACCCTCACCCGCCCCTGTGGCCCTGCGGTTTCCCGCCTCGCCGCTTGTTTTTATGTGTAAAAGGTGTCTCCGGATCCCAGTTTTCTCACAACAACTCGTCCAGATTGCAACTCTTCACCCAAGGCGTTTCCCCACCCACTCCCGTCCCCTCCCGGGCGCCGCGCCTCCGGCCTCCCCCGCCCCCGTCAGGAAACCGCCGGAATCAACTTGACAAGACGGCGCCGCGGGAAACAGACACCTAGATCTCCCCGCGGCCGGGACCCGGTGGACTTTGGATGGATGGGGGCGGGGGGGAGGGGCGCAGCAGGAGGAAGGACCGGAGGAGGGAATTTCTGCCGCCAACGGCCCTCCCTTCACCACTCCCCCCAAAGACGCGCCCTGGGTTCGGGCCAAACTTCTAGGCCAAGATTGCAAGAAAAAAAAAGGGGGGGGGGAAGAAAGCCAGCACTCAATGAATTAACCTAGAGCCGCCGGGGCTCTCAGACCCAGTTGCACTCCTGTCTTCAGCCAGGTTTGATCTTGGAATACGTCCTCCCCTCCAGCAGAACTGTTCCCGCCAGCCCTACTCCCGCGTTCCCACCGAAACCGGGGCCTTACCGGAGCCGGAGGGGGCCGGGGGCACCTTGCAGAGCGCCGGGGCCGCCGCCGCGGCCGCCGCTGATGCTGTAGACGCGGTCTCCCCCGCACTCGCCCCGGCCTGGGGATGCAGGATGGTTTACGGAGGGACCGCGGGCCGCTGATTGGTCGCGGGCCGCGGTGACGTCGGCGGGCGCTGCATTAAGGCGAGGGGGCTTCTAGAGCTCCGCCGACAGCCGGGAGCAGTGGCCGAGCCGCCGGAGCTGGGGAGAGACGCGCCGGGGACAGAGGGACGCTTGTCCAGGGAGAGCCAGCAAGCAACGACACCGCGGCCCGGGGCGGCGACAGCGGCGGCCGGTGCCGAGCTGCTCCGGCCGCGCAGAACTGTCGCCGCTGCGCCAGGACGTTTTTTAAAAAGCGCTCTAAGCTACTCCCCCTCTTTCCGACTCCTCCCGCTGCAAAAGAGGAAAAAAAAGGAAAGAAAGGGGAAAAAAAGAAAGGAAAGAAAGAGGCTAGCAAGGAAACCACGACGAAAAAAAGAGGGGACAAGAAAAAGAAAAAGTCGAGCGACTGCGGGGTTGGACGCCTGCAGCCGGAGCGCGGGCCAGCGATGCGGGGCTGCGCGCCCAGGCGGCCGCGAATTGTGACCGGAGCCGCCATGCCCCGCCGGGCGCGGTGAGGAGCCGGCCCGAATCGCCTCCCAACGGAGTCCCGGCGCTGGGAGGGCGGTCGGTCCCGAGGACGCGGAGGCCGCCAGGCAGGCCCCGGGCCGAGGTGACGGGGCTGGGGCGGTGGGAAGCTAGCGAGCGAGTGCGCCCGGCTGCATCCTCCCTTTCTCGATTGACACAAACACTTCTCCAAAAGAGGAGAAGCCCAAGCAACAGCAGTCAACTACGGGATCTTCCTCCGGCCCTCCCCTCCTCTGTGCCTCCTCCTCCTCCCTCGGTCTGCCCCCGCCCCTTCCCCCCCGGCCCACCCTGGGCGCCCAGCACGTCCCGACCCCGCTGTGCGATGCCTGCAGCTTAGGATCCAAAGCTTCTCTTACTCATTTTGTTCTTTTTCTTTTATATAAAAAAGAGGAGGGGACATCCCGGTGGCGGCGGGCAGCCGGGCACACGTTACCACCCGCCCTCAGACTCCCGACAAAAGCAGATGCACTTTGACTTCTGACAGCTCTACCTCAAGCCCGTGAGAACTCGGCGGCGCTCGCTTTCCCTGCAAAATAGCTCGTCGTCGCGTCGTCGTCCTCTTCTTTCTTCACCGTCCCCCGTTTTATTTATTTAATTCCGTTACCCTCGCCGCCTCGGTGACCTTCACTCCTCGGCGAGTTCCGGGCAGAAGAGTCGCTTTCGCACCCGCCGCCGCCGGAGACTTCTTTCCTCGCCCCGGGAGCTGTGGTGGCGCTGCTGAGCCCCGGGGCCTTGGGACACCTAGGCTGGCGCCCCCGTTTGCCCCGTTTTCCCCTCTTTTGATTTCCTGGTGCGGATTTTGGCTTGCACCCCGCCGCCGAGTGTGTCTCCTCTTTTTGGAAGGGTTGGGGAGCTCGTTTCGGTCGTCTTCGGGGAGTCCACCCCTCTCTGCTCTACCTGCTCCTCTCCCTCTGGGCCTCGCCCGACTAAACCAAAGACCATGGTGCACTGTGCCGGCTGCAAAAGGCCCATCCTGGACCGCTTCCTCTTGAACGTGCTGGACAGGGCCTGGCACGTCAAGTGCGTCCAATGCTGCGAATGTAAATGCAACCTGACGGAGAAGTGCTTCTCCCGGGAAGGCAAGCTCTACTGCAAGAACGACTTCTTCCGGTGAGTCCTTCCCTCGCCGGCCCCTGCCGCCCCCTTCTTCCCCAGGGCCCTCCGAGGGGCCAGCCACGGGTCAGAGGTCAGCGTGGGTGCGTTAGGGGCTGCCTTCCGAGAGGGCAGCCACGTCCCGCAGACGCCCGCCTCTTGGCCAGCTGGCGCGCTGGGCTCCCAGGACGCGCGTCCCTGCTTGCATCCTGGAAACGGTGGGTCTCGGCTTTCGCTGCACGTGCCTAGGGAAAAAAGGGTCCGAGCCCGCTGGGGCCCAGAAGCCCCTCCAAAGCTCGGAGGAAGGCAGCGCGGCCTCGGGCGTTGTAGCCCTGGCTGCTCTCTTTCCCCGTGGTGCGCGGAGCTCCCCAGCAGCTGCATCCTCCGGGCCTCCTGATTGCTTGCCCTCCAGGCTGAGTTTTGAAGCCCCGTTTAGCTCTCCGCCGCCCGCCGAGGCTTGAGGTCTCCAAGAGGTCTTGGCGGGAACCGCGGGGCTTTTTGCATGGGGTGCCACAGCCTAGGCAGCGGCAGGAAATCGCCCCTATCCTACACATTCCCGGCGTTCCCTAAACCCCTACCGGTCCCCTCCGAGCACTGGCCTAGACAAACTGCCTCCCCGTCGCGGTGAAATGCCCAGAGGCTGCAGCCTCCATGGAGATGTTTTCCCCGGCTAACCCCGCCGCCTGGGGACGGCGGGAGGTTTGGCCTCCGCCCTACGCGGACTTTGGCTCTGGGGCGGGGAAGCCACTCTGAGCTCTTCTCCCCAGCACTGCCCATCACCCCGCCACCTCCTTGCGGAAACCTCTCGGGGAAAATCCTCGAATTCTCCTGACACCCCATCATCCATTTAGCATTTTAATTGTATTCTCTTCAATTCACTATTTCGGCCACCAAACCCACACAAACACACAGGTCAACAGCGAACCGGAGCAAACGCGATCAGTAATTCCCCGCGCGGGTGCTTGAAATCTCCCAGTTTACTGGGCCGGCGAGGTCTCTGTTTTCTTCGGAGTCTGCCCTGACAGATCAAACTGGGGGGTGGCGGGTGGGAGTTCAAAGCCACCAGTCCCCAGTGTCACCCCAGGACGCGGGGCTCTGGTTAAGGGAGGCTGTGGAGCAAAGCGCCGTGCAGGCTGGCATTGCCAGGAGAAGCCCAGGCTGAACCTCTGAGCCTCGGCAGGCCATGCCCGCTTCCCCTAGTACTGGCTGGAACCCAGCCGGGGGAGCTGCGAGCGGTGCCAGGGGGGCCCAGAGGCCCGGCCCTCCCGCAAAGCGCGTCCCGGTGTCTACAGCCAACCTGCCCGTCTTTGGGCTTGAACGTGGCGGCGGTCGTCTGGGCCCTCCCAGGCTGTTGGTTCACCTGCAGCGGGACTGGACCTGCCAAGCCCTCCACCCCCCTCCCCACCCCCGCCAGTGCACGGTCCCTTTGGCCGCGAAGGAGGAGAAAGGGCGCCACCCGGGAGGCGATTAGAAGGCGCTCTGGTTAGAATTGGACTGTTTTCTGAATCTAATCGGAAAATAAGTGCCTCTCCCCCTTCCCGTCTCCGCCGTGCTGCCTTCTCGGGCAGCGCTTTTTTCCTCGGGGACAACATCCGGCGTGAGGCTAGGAGCGAGGGCAGTTTGGGCCCCGCTCGCTCTCACTCAAACCAAATGTATCTCCTTCACTCTCACTCGAACCAAACGTATCTCCTCCCGACTTGTCCCGGGGCCCGCGCTCTCTTCCTGCCTACTTGATCGGCATTCTGCCTTTCTTACTTTTTTTTTTTTTTGCTCGCGCGCTTTCTCTCCCTTTCTTCATTTCCCCCTTCCTTTGTGCCTTCCTCCATTTTCTGCTTATTTATTTCCCCCTGTCTTTCCCCCTGCCTCTGTGTTCTCTGCCCCCTTCCCCGCTTCCCCCTTGCAGGTGTTTCGGTACAAAATGCGCGGGCTGCGCGCAGGGCATCTCCCCTAGCGACCTGGTGCGGAGAGCGCGGAGCAAAGTGTTTCACCTGAACTGCTTCACCTGCATGATGTGTAACAAGCAGCTCTCCACCGGCGAGGAGCTCTACATCATCGACGAGAACAAGTTCGTCTGCAAAGAGGACTACCTGAGCAACAGCAGCGTCGCCAAAGAGAACAGCCTCCACTCGGGTGAGGCCCGGCTCGCCCGCTCCCGGGGGTGGGCAGGTCCCCGGAGAGGGAGACTCTCTCCCTCTCTCTCTCTCTCTCTCTCTCTCTCTCTCTCTCTCTCTCTCTCTCTCTCTCTCTCTCTCTCTCTCTCTCTTTCGGCCAAGGCCACCGCTCACACCTGTCCCTTCCTTCTCTCCAGCCACCACGGGCAGTGACCCCAGCTTGTCTCCGGACTCCCAAGACCCGTCGCAGGACGACGCCAAGGACTCGGAGAGCGCCAACGTCTCGGACAAGGAAGGGGGCAGCAATGAGAACGACGATCAGAACCTGGGCGCCAAGCGGCGGGGGCCGCGCACCACCATCAAAGCCAAGCAGCTGGAGACGCTGAAGGCCGCCTTCGCTGCCACGCCGAAGCCCACGCGCCACATCCGCGAGCAGCTGGCTCAGGAGACGGGCCTCAACATGCGCGTCATTCAGGTCAGGGTCCACCCAGTTCCCCCAGACCCGCTGGACTCCTCCAGGCCAGCTTGCAGGAGCTGAGCAAGTTCTCGGAAGCTGGCCTTGGAGTGAGAAGAAGCCCAAACGCACCACCACACACCCTTACCCCTTTGGGTATTTGAAGCTCTGCCCAATGTTTAGAAGGACTGGAAACCCCTAGGGCCTAGGTCTCCTCCTCTTCCTGGTGATGGTGGTGGCGGAGGAGGGAGGGAACAGGAGGGAGCTCCGCAGGAGGTTGGAGGAAGGGACATTGTGGGACATCCAGTGAGAATTGGGGCGCTTACTTTTTTTCCCTGCACCACCTACCCCTGTTCCGAAGGAGCCCAGAGGTCACTGCATGTGGAACTTAATGGTTCCTCTGACTTCTGCACAAGGAGACCTCCTTCTGCATCCCTAACCCCAACTTTGTGGGTCTCTTGCCCTAGTTAGACAAGTCCCAGAGCAGAGACTCCTCCTCTGGAGAGAGGTGGGGCATCCTGGTTAGAAGATGACACCTCCATCTCCCGGGAGTCAGCCCTCCCTCATGGTCCCAAGTAGGATGGGGAGGGGAGGTGGCCCTCTGGGCAGCTGTGCTAGTGTTGTAAGGATCTGAGACTGCAGGAGCTTCGGGTGGAGTCTCCGGCCCAAGTGCAGTTGTCCCGTTCATGGGCCTGGATGCTCTTCCAGGGAGTGGGTGGGTGCGCCTGGGAGGCTGAGTGTGTGCATGCCTGCAAGCCACCGCCTCTGAGGGAGGCCCTGCAGCGGCTGGGAGGTTGTGCCAAAGTGCACGCACGTGAATGGTCGGCTGCATGTCGGTGTCATTTTGAGTGCGCTGCTGTGGATAAGTATCGTTGGCACTGGAAGATGATGTGTGGGTGTGAAAAGCATATGGTGTCGCTACCCTTGCGAGACTGAGTGTCAACAGGAGGCTCTTTAGTTCTCTGTCTGCTATCATGTGGGGGAGGGAGCTGCCAGGGACCCTGGAGGGAAACTGTGTCTGACACTGCTTGGGGAGGTTGAGTATCTATGTGTGCACAGACACCGACGAGAAGCTGTAGCTATGACACTGTGCCTGTTAGAAACAACTCCAACTGCCTCACGTGGGGCAGGGCAGCTTGCCCAGGTCCTCCAGGCGGGAATCCTGTTCCCCGTTGGCTCAGGGGCCGCCCAGCGCCGCTCTCCTCAGAGGACCCCACCCCCAACACCAACACCGTGCACAACACGCGCATACACACACATACGCGCATACACACACATATGCGCACACGCAGCTAGGCTGCGGAGGGTGAGGGGCCCGCCGGGCGGCGAACCTGAAATGGGGAGTGGGCTTTTGTGGCTTCACCCTGTGGCGTGTGTGTGCTTCAGGTCTGGTTCCAGAACCGCCGCTCCAAGGAACGGAGGATGAAGCAGCTGAGCGCGCTGGGCGCCCGGCGCCACGCCTTCTTCCGCAGCCCGCGCCGAATGCGGCCCCTCGTGGACCGCCTGGAGCCCGGCGAGCTCCTCCCCAACGGGCCCTTCTCCTTCTACGGAGGTGGGTGCGCTGCCCCGGGCAGGGCTCGGCCAGGCCGGGGTTGGCTTCGTTGGAAGCGGGTGGCAGCGCCCCCGGCACTTCTCTCATTCTGCAGATAGGAGGGGAGATGGGGACGGCTGGGAGCTAAATTGGGGGAAGGTAGTAACCCCGAAGGCGGAATCCCTGACCCTGAATGGGGCGGGTGGGCAGTTAGCGAGCGGCTTCAGTACCCACCAGCCGCCTCCTCCCAGCTCCCAGCCTGGAAAGGGAGCCCCCAGCTAGGGCGCCTCCCTGCCCTTGGTCCCACCGCACCCAGCGCCCAGCCCTGACATCCTCCTCCCCGCCGCTCCGCAGATTACCAGAGCGAGTACTACGGGCCCGGAGGCAACTACGACTTCTTCCCGCAAGGCCCCCCGTCCTCGCAGGCTCAGACACCAGTGGACCTACCTTTCGTGCCGTCGTCTGGGCCGTCCGGGACGCCCCTGGGCGGCTTGGAGCACCCGCTGCCCGGCCACCACCCGTCCAGCGAGGCGCAGCGGTTCACCGACATCCTGGCGCACCCCCCTGGGGACTCGCCCAGCCCCGAGCCCAGCCTGCCCGGGCCTCTGCACTCCATGTCGGCCGAGGTCTTCGGGCCAAGCCCGCCCTTCTCATCGCTGTCGGTCAACGGCGGGGCGAGCTATGGGAACCACCTGTCTCACCCTCCCGAAATGAACGAGGCAGCCGTGTGGTAGCGGGGGTCTCCACGGTCCGCGGAGTTCGTGGTTGTACAGAAATGAACTTTTATTTAAGAAAAATAGGGGAAAATCATAAAAATCTAGTCACCTACCACCACCACCACCTTCCTCCAGCCTCGGGGACCATTTTCCGTCTGGGGAAGGCTGGATGGGAAAAGGAAACAGGACAAAAGACAAATCTGCCTGGAGGTGGGACTGGGATCCGCGAGCTGGCTTGCCCGGTGCAGGACTGAGCTTCAGACCTCTCCTCACCTCCCACCTGGACCGGACTCCGTGGACAGACACCGCGGGCAGGCGAGTGAGTCCGGCCGGTGGGCGGGCGGCACAGGAACGACCTCGGAGGCCACAGGGGCGCACAGCTCAGTGGTGACCCAGGAGGGAGGCTGCGCCCTCAGCCGTCCCTGGGTGCCCCCAGGCCAGCCAGGAGGGCGCTGGCTGTGGGAAACCTAATAGTGTTGGTCTCAGTTCAGCAACAGCGACAGCAAACTATGATAGCTTCAGAAACGACGACCTGCTGTGCATCAGGTGGGACTATATATATATACATATATACATATATTTTGTCTCTCTGGGTTTTTTGTTTTTTTTTGTTTTTGCCAAAATTGCAAAATTCTAAATGTAAAGCCCTCAGTATCAACTCTTCTACCTTCACAAAGCTCTACACACCTACACCCACAGACACACTGGATAGGACGGTCTCCAGCCAGACCTCTCAGTAAGATGACTTGAACATCATCTGTGCAAGAAAAGTATTCTACTTTCAGTCACACACACAGACACACACACACAGACACACACACACACAGAGTTTTAAAAAAGACGAGAACTAAAAACAGTCAACTGTTTACGTATAATGTTAAATTCAGGAGTTCAGTGTTTTACTAATACATCCTATTTTGAAACCTCTTGTTCAAAAACAAAACGTTTTGAGCAGTCAACCAAAATTGTTCATTTTCTTTTCCTGTAGATGTTCTGACAGATTTGCAGGGCTCACAGCTCACTGTGCTAGTATGTAAAAAGGTGTTGTTTACACAAGGCAAAAAAGAAAACACGATATTCAGACACTTGCCAAATAGAATAATTATAGCACAAATACTGTAAAGGTGCCTGGCACCACAACCTGAGAAAGTGTTAAAAAAAAAAAAAAGTGTTACAAGGTTTAAGAAAGAAACATCTTTGCTAATTTTTAGTCCTGTTGAACATTCATGGAATTGTTAATATGACTTATATAGACCCACACAGGTTTTATTTTTGTGTCTTTAAAAATAAAAGTCCAAAATATTTAAATTTTATGGTCAAATATGCAGTCAGCAGCTGCTACTTTTTTCTTTATATATTAAATTTCTCATATGTCTTTTATTGTTCTGATAAACCTAAGCTTGTGTGACCTCCAGTGCATATTAGACCATTCACTGTATGAAAGAAAACATGTTGAATAAATTTGTGAGTTTTTAATAAAAATAGAAAATCTGATGTTTAGATAACCGGTGTGTTATTTGATGTTTTCAGATCTGGAAGGGAGGCAGGGTGACCCCTTAGAAGCGAGGCAGGACTGAGTTATCTGTTTTCACCTTGGCTGTGGTTGAACCCCATTCCTAATGCCAGCCAAGCTTTTCTCCATGGCTTCCTGCTGTTATTAACTACAGATTTGCATTCTGTGGATTTAACTGGTACAGTTGAAGAGATACTTGCTGATAAGTTAATACAGAATTTGAAATAGAAATAAAATCCATGGCTCAAAATGAATGACCCTCGTCTGTGATTAGGCATGAGATCACATGTACTCTCTCCCACCCACCCCCAACCCACCATCCCCGCACAAACAAGACTGGACTTGTGAATGTCAGCTGCAAATATAGAGTTAGAGGTGGTCTTTTTCAGTTTCAATTCATTTCCCATAGATAATCCTGTTTTCTAATTTGGTGGTTTGAAAGATAATGTAAAACGAATGTACAGTACAGCTGAAAGTGAAGTACTTTAATCCCTTCCACAGAAATGATATGAAATAGTTGTTTTATAGTATTTGCTACATTTGAAGTTCCCCAGAAGGAAAATTATTTTGCTGGTACAGATACATATTACATTTCTTTGAGAGATGAATAAAAATAACGAATATAGAAATCAAATGTCAACTCGCAGTTTTCCATTAGTTCTGAAAAGTAGTTCAGTCCCTTCCAACCCTTCATTAAGTGTGGAAGGAATTTAAATATTTTTCTACTATGAAATACGTGTGTCTGTGTGTGTGTGTGTGTGTGTGTATGTGTTAATATCAAACCCTATTAGAGTTCCAGGATTTCTTTTCCATATCACCTAGATTTCACACTGGGTTATTTACTTCACCCTTTTTTTTAAAATCAAGGTTTTACATTAAATGGCATGTATTTTCTAGTGTTATTTCCATATTTTGTTAAGACACAACCAACTGCATCCTGACAAGAAGGCTTTAAAATAAGCAATATTTCACTGCACCCATGTGATGGCTTATCGAATGGGGAGGACTATCAGGGAGGAATCTGATGGGGTCCTGTAGAAATCCAAATTTATGAAATACGGGAGAAACTTCTGAAACCCCTAGCCTCTGCACATAGCACATTTCTTTATCTGCTTTGTATGCAATCACTGGATGGGTTTGTTTCTCTCTCCCCACCCCCCCATTTAGCGTTTATTTGTGTTAAATCATAGCCAACTTATTTATTATAGCCACTCCTTTTAAAGACATTCATTTAACTGCACCTCGTTGGGAAGCTGCATTTTCCTATCAAGCCTACTGAATTATTTAGCAGCTTTATTGTGGAATCGGGCGCTTGATAAGAATCGTTTTAGAGTTGGGCGCTCTGAGGCAGCAGCTCAGTCTTTCCGCCTTGGCGCTGTCCCCTGAACCCTAGCGAACACCTGAACAGGTGGCAAAGCTTAGCAGTCAATGTTGGAGCTGCCTGAGAAGAGGAAATCTAGAAATGTCAGGAACTGCTCTCCTTCCCATCAGACCGACCCCTCTGGCTCTAAGGTGCAGAAAAGCACCTCAGCATCCCCACTTTGGTGGAGCTAGGAGCTGCCAGAGGAAGACCTGGCCAGCCAGGCAGCGGGGAGTACCCAGGCGATCCCCTCCCGCCTAAGAGGGCAGTTTCCTCTCTGGCAGCTTGCTTTCTCCCTGCAGCCATCTTAAAGCCGCCACTGCTGGTGCCTTTTGCCACCTGCCCTCAGGGTGCCAGCAGGTAGTCACCATCTGCCCTGGGTGAAAGAGGTGAAACTCACCCACCCAACTTACCCAGGCTGGTGGGGGGGGGACCTGGGGGGCTACTTTAAGGTGAGACAAGATTGGGGAGGACTATTCATGGAAAGCCAGGACAGGCATGGGCAGGGCCTGGGACCTGGAGATGGAGATGGATAGTATCAGAAAAGAGAGGAGAGGCAGTTAAGAACCTGGTTTCCCCAAACTCTTCGTCATGGGATAGGCCGTTGATTGGGACGGGGCGGGGGGTGGGGGGGGGTGGTATCTAATGGCACCCTTGCCCATACTCTGGCATTCCTACATCTGTCTGCCACTTTGCAGCCCGAAGGCCCCAAGCAGAGGGTATCCCTCTGACCTTCTCTGGGGAGTACTGTTCTTTTGGGAGTGTGCTCCCATTTATACCCATCCCCCCTGCTTATCTCATCTGTTCTCATTTCTAGAGCAGTCGGAAGTTTGCATTTCTTCTAGGAAATAAAGTCTTTGAAATATGTCCCCCCCGTAGACTACCCTCTGTCTCCTTCCAATCCCCATCAGGAAACCCCTCTTTCCTTTAGAGGGTGGGGGACAAAGAAAGCATGGGAGGTTGCTCTCCTGCCCCATGCCTCAGTTTCTCTGAGTTGCATCTTAAGTTTTAGAATTCTCCCTCTTTTCTCCATTCCTGGAATCCTCTCCCCCCCCCACTCCCCTCAGCATGGGGTAAGAAAGCAGGGGGACATTTGGGGGCCCTGGGATGTATGAGACAGGAGTGGCTGTGTCCTGTTTGCATGGCAGCTTAGAGGTGGTCTCTGACCTGCCTTGTCTCCCCCCCTCTCCCCCCCATTTCTTGCTTTTCTTTACCCCTAGGGCAGATTTCTAAGCAGTATGTGTCCAAAATAGGAAGGGAAGAGGAATGTGGGTGGTAATTTCCTAAATATGGGCTGAGAGAAACATTTTTGTCCTTGGAAGCCCAAGGCAATGGCCCCTTGTTACAGCCTGAGGAGCATGCTTTTGCTCTGAGAGGGGCACAAGACTGCAATTCCAGGGGATATGTTGTGTTTGTTTTTTTAAAAAGCTATTTTCTAGCTTGAATTTTCTTGCAGGCAGTAAAAAGCAGTGTGTGTGTGTGTGTGTGTTGCTGCTGTTTGTTTTTTGCCTGAGTCCCCTGTCCAGGGTGCTCCATTTCTAGCCGGGCATTCTTTCCCTTCCATGTTTGTGGGGGAGATCAATCCTAAAACAGGTCTCCTTCCCCTATGCAGCCACTCAGGAAAGGACATATGTATGAGAAGGCACAGTAAAGTGGTGGTCCCTCATTGATCTTGAAGGCATATGAAGACTGTGAACGTCAGGGATTCCTACTTCCCTTGGGTTCCTCAGTAAACACTGGGGAGCTGAGGTTCCCTAGGAAGTTCAGCTTGTGGGGGTACAATTAGCCTGGGCTGTACCCAAGAAGGTCATGGGGCATTTTGAATGTTTGTTTTCTGGATCCTTTTGAGGCAGTTTCTGTTTAGGGGTTTTTCAGTTTTCTACAAGTGACTTCAAACAGATCCTGGAAGGGTAGACGGCTCTGGAAAATCATTCATCTCTTATTGTTGCTTCTGTTCACAAGTTTGTCTGCCCCTCTAGGCTGATCACCAAGGAGAGACTCTAACTTACTCATCTTTGCATCTCTTTTAGCAGTGCCTGCCACATAGCGGGCAGTCAGGGAATGCTTGATGAGGAAAGAAAATATCAAAGGATTGTATCTTTCCATGCGCCTGAATGCAATTAAATTGATCCTATTAAGTCTTTATATTCTGAGTCTAACGGTAGATTTGAGGATTTCTGTATCAGTTCCAACTGTCAGAGTATGCCCTCCCCTTTGAACAGCAGAGCTATCAATAGCGATGGGTGTGACTAGTAGTCATCCCCTCCCCACCCTCTTTTCCCTGTTTAGACAAGGCTACTTGGAGAAACTGCATAATCGATCTTTATCTATGCACAACCATAGCGATTTCTAATTATCCCTATTAGTAAAGATGCCAGCAGCCTGCCGTATGCCTACACACATACTACACACATCTCTGATGTAGGATTGCCAAATCCTGGCTGCTGCGGGGCCCACGTCCTTATCTCGGCCCCTCCAAATGGAGACACGCCAGACCCGCTTTTAGTCCCAGGTTTGTGCACACCCCAAAGCGCCCCTGAAGCTCGACTCCCTCCTTCCCAAATCAGCCACCACGGCAGGGTCACGGCTACGCCGTACTTTATTTCCAAGCAAATCTCGGACAAATCTTGAGGAATAGTTCATGCGAGGGGACAACAACAGCTCGCATCGCAATCCCTGCGGAGCGCCGGCGTCAGCGACGCACCCGTGCGCGTTCCCGCGCCTCCCAACACGCCCCTCAACGCGCATGCGCGGCCGGCCGGGCGACAATCCCTTCAGCCTCGCGGGCGCTTCCGCCTTCAGCCAGGCGGTGACGCAGAGGCTCCGCCCCCTCCCGGAAGTTGCCCTCCGGGAGCCGGGCGCCGGGCTCCGCGCGGTTTCTGACTGGCTTTGGGAGGCGTTTCCCGGAGGGAGGGCCCCGCGGGGAGAGAGCGTCCCGAGCGAGGCGAGGGCCGCACGTTCCCGTCCGCGCGCGGCCCGGAGCGGAGTGAGACTGACCCGGTGACCATGGCGGGGTCGCAACCCCTCGCGCTGCAGCTGGAACAGCTGTTGAACCCGCGACCACGCGAGGCGGATCCGGAGGCCGACCCGGAGGAGGGTGAGGTGACCGGGGCGAGGCCACGTGCGGGGACCTGGGCCGCGTGGGAGGGCCGCCTCCTTATTCCTGTGTGGAGAAAAACCGCCCCCCGACCCCGGAGGGATGCCCCGGGCTCCGGAGGACAGCTGGGCTGCTGACACGCTGTCCTCGGTAGACTCGGTGCCGGGGGTGGGGGAGACGTTTCGGGGGGCTGGGGTTGGGAGGGGGTGGTGGTGGCGGAGCGTCCCGCGGACTGTGGCTCGGTAACTGGTCCAGGGCTGTCGCAGGGAACCAGAGTCTGGTCGCAGGTTGGGAGTTACTTTCAGGATGCTCTTCCAGGAATTGTGTTGGAAAGGAGGAGGAGGAGGCAGTCTCCTCCGGTGTTAGTAAACCCTGCCTGTCCCTAAGCACTTAACTTGGGGAATGAAGAAGTAGATTTCCATGGTGCTGCCCGAGTCTCTTCGGGCCTCAGGACATTTGCTCAGGGGCTGATGAGGGAGACTCAGTTGGGTACGCTCAGGTTCGAGGTCTGGTTGGGAGTGATCCTGCTTTAGACTTGAGTTAACAAAGTGTGAAGAAGGGAGAATAATGAAGGATAACGCTGGACTGCGTTTTAGGAATATCAGTTGAAGGAACTGGGGCTATTTTGCCAGGGTAAGCAAAAAAACAAAAACCCAAAAAAAAACTCCTCCAGGGATAGGAGGAAATGAGGACAGAACATGATGATGGCTGACAGACAGTGTTTGAGTGACTGTCATGTAGGGAAGAGGAATTACCCCAGTTTTATGTGATCCAAGGCATAGAACTATATACGACTTAGTACATAACAGAGTTGGCTTTCTGTTCAGGAACAGCGGTAAGGTAGAGGACTGCCTTGGGAGGTAATGCGTTCCCTGTTCCTGGAAGTTGGTAAGGATTTCGTAGAGGACATTCAAGTACGAATGGAAAGGGTTTGGACAGGGTTACCATTAAAGTTGGAGGTTCTGATTACGTTTCCCCTCACCCATCCACAGCCACTGCTGCCAGAGTGATTGACAGGTTTGAGGAAGGAGAAGATGGGGAAGGTGACTTACTGGCTGTGGGTAACATCAGGAAACTGGCATCAGCTTCCCTTTTGGAAACAGACAAAAGGTATTCTGGCAAGACCATCTCTAGGAAAGCTTTGAAGGAAGACCAATGGGAGCATCCTCTATCAGGTTCTTCTGGTGAGTGGATGTATTTGCATGTTTTGGGGGGGGGGGTTGTTTGTTTGTTTTTTGCATGGTACTCTTCCTCTTTCTTTCCTAATTTTTTAGGGTGAAGATTCCCTTTTAATGAATTTTGCAAGACTAGTCTATGTACCCCCACCTATGATCTTAAGAGAAATCATTGATTTAGCTTTAGAAAGGGCCTTAGAGGTACTTAATTTCCACTTCGTAAGGAATCAAAAGCCTGAAGGTATTAAGTTGCTATACTCCTTATGTTTAATAGTTCACTGTAAAATGGAGTAAGAGAAAAGGCAGTGCATATTGGACATTGAAGAGGCTGTGTATTGAAAAAGCATTGCATCTGATAAGCGCGCTATTCAGGGATTTTGATCCTTTTCCTTCAGTTTTTCGGTCTTACATTGGGTCACTATATGACATTAATTTGTGAGACTCATCTTTTGCCTGATGGATGGCAAAAAATAATATAATCCTTCCCTATTCCCTGCAGGAGTGTTAGAAGATGTGAGCTTATAGTTTTAAAGCAGAGTGGAAGAAGTGGTTGCATATGGTAATTGCTGAGTGGATGCCATTTGATTTTCATTAAAGAAATCAGAGGGGCTATGTTGAGAATCCGCAGATAATATAAAACAAACTTTCATTTAGGTTAAAATATATATATATGATTTAGTCCTTGATATAGTTCTGCAAGTTCCTGATAACCTCATTTCACATTTTTTGCCTAGAGACTGCTAAAGAGACTAGTATGAGACAAATATTATAGTACTTATTGTGTTGTCACCGTGTGTCAGGCACGGTAGAAAACACTTTAAATTAAATTCCAAGAATCTGGGACACAGTAAGTCTTCAAAAAATGTTATCACCATTATCGTTACTTACATAATTTCATTTAATCTTCCCAATAGCCTTGTGAGGTTGATACTATTTATTCCCATTTTACAGATAAAGAAATGGAGGGATAGATTGGTTAAGTAACTTGTTTAAGGTCATATAGATAGTAAGTGGAGGATCCCAGACTTAGTAAGGCAATCTGACTCCAAGAGTACTCTTAATTAGTACTCTGTAGGAATGTTTCTTAATTTGAAAAATTGCATACCTTTAAAGAACTTTGCGTTTAGTTTTTGTATTTGTATATTTGACAGATTTCCCTGTGTCTTTAGTTTATATATAGTTTTTTAAAAGAAACACTGAAGGCCTCTCCACGTTTTCATAAAATCTTTATTTTATTGAAGAAAGTTGTTGGTAACTAGTCCCTGTGTCTAATAATTATGTTTGCTATACATGGGACCCTTACGTTCTACCACGTAAGAGATAGGATAATCAATGATAACCCTAATCAGGTGATACCCTAAGGAAAAATAAAATCAGGAGCTGTAATTAACATTCCACTTACTATAGGATCAAGTTCAAACTCCTTCCCATTACAGGTAAGACCCCTGATAGCAACTCTGTAGGCATATTTCCTAACATTCTGCACTCCAGTGTACTTTTAAGGTGCTGGATCTTTGCATATGCTGTTTTCTCTTTCCCTTTTCTCTATATGATGTGCTGTTACTTACACTTAATAACTAAAATCATAATGTCTCCTCCTACACATGAAGCCATCTCTCACCTTTGCAGGTGAGTTAAGTGGTTCCTTATGACATTGTAACATAATTACTGGTGTGTATATCTACCACTCCAACCAGACTATGAAGCCTTCCTCATAGGTATCACATTCTTCTTATCATTCCTTAGCATTTTTCTATGCCTGGCTCATAATAGATGCTATATAGATAGATAGATAGATAGATAGATAGATATATGCCTAAGCGACTGGTAAGACCAAACAACCGGTCAACTGGTTGCTGTGATGTGCACGGACCACCAGGGGGCAGACACTCAATGCAGAAGTTGTCCTTGGTGATCAGTGCACTCCCACAGCAGGAGTGCCACTCAGCCAGAAGCTGGGCTCATGGCTGGCGAGAGCAGTGGTGGGAGCTTCTTTTGCCTCTGCAGCAGCGCTACCAAGCGGCTGAGGGACCTCACCCATGCATGAATCTGTGCACTGAGCCTCTAGTAAGTATATAACAAATTGTGTACGTTTGTGTGATAGAAATTATGCATTTGGGATAGTTAAGGTATATGCTTTTAGATGCAATTTTGAGAAAACTGGTAATTCCCTCACACCATTGAAATCTGACCATTCTTCAAGGTCTAGACTAAGGACCTTCTCTTCCTATTTAAGTATACTTAAATTCACTTGTCCCACAGTTAAAATTTCCCTCTTCTCTGGGTTATTAAAACTTTGTTAAAGCTTTTAAGTCTTTTCTGTATTATAATTTTATGGGTCTTTCCCACTAGAACCTTTATGTTAGGATTGTACTTATGTTTTGTTCATCTTTGCTTCTCCATTAGCATTTTATAGATAATAGATGTGTAATAAATATTTATTGGATTGAGTACAATGTATAATACTAGTACTATAAAAAAAAAAACAACTGCCATGGTCCTTTAGATGAAGTGAAAAATACAGCTGGGTATTTGCCTCAAGGTAACATCCATTGTCTTTCCTTCTTCTCTCTCTTGTTTAGACAAGGAAATATCTGATGAGGAAGAGTCTGGAGATGGCGATTCAGAGGGGCTAGGTCTGGAGGAGTCTGATGAGGATGCCATGAGTGTTGCCGAGGAACAGGAGTGTGGTGATGATGGGGACAATAGTCTGGCCAAAAGGAAGGGGAGCAGAAGCCGCTCTGGGAAAACACCAGGCTTCAGTTTTCAGAATATCAGTGACTTCGAAAAATTTACTGAGGGAATGGATGACCTTGGTAGCAGTGATGACGAGGAAGATGAAGAGGAGGAGAGTGGCATGGAAGATGGGGATGGGGAAGAAGATTTAGAGGGTGCCAGTGAGGAAGACAGGGCTGAAGACAGGAACAGTGAAGATGATGGTGTGGTGATGACATTCTCCAGTGCTAAAGTTTCCGAGGAAGTGGAGAAAGGCAGAGCTGTGAAGAACCAGATAGGTTTGTACATGGTTTGCTTATTTTTCAAAGTCTGCATTTGATGACCTTTTGTTTGTTTGTTTGTTTTTGATTGTTTGCTCTCTCCTGTGTCCTTCCAATTAAGTTTGTGACATGCCCCACTTACCTAGAAGCCTAAAGCCCCATTCCTCTATGCTTAGCCAGCCATTTCTACACTGAGCTGCTTAGTTGGTTCTGCTCTGGTACTTCCGGCAACTGTGGAAGATTGAAGAGGAGAGCGTTTTCTCCTCTCTTTGGGCTTAGCATTTTCTCTCATGTAGCACATATCTGCTTCCAAGATACTGAATTTATTTCCTATAACATAGAGTGTTTCCATGGCATGAAAAACTGTGATAAAGTTGTGTTGCTTAGAGACAGACTGGTGTGATTTCCTATCCTTTCCACCCCTCTTTTCCCTCCCCAAGAAGATTACTATATAACTGAGGAATGGAATTATTTTTTCTTTCTCAGCTCTGTGGGACCAGCTCTTGGAAGGAAGGATCAAACTGCAAAAAGCTCTGTTGACTACCAATCAGCTTCCTCAACCGGATGTTTTCCCTGTTTTCAAGGACAAGGGTGGCCAAGAATTTGCCAGCGCCTTGAAAAATAGTAAGCATACTTATTGGGATATTTTGCAGAACCACAGAGTTGAAAAAAAGATATAGTTTTCATGATAACATGGTATAAAATAGTAGTTTTTAACTTTTTAAAAAAAAGCAATATAATTCTTTTATCAAATGAAAATAACTTTGGTTGAAATGGATTGGGTGCTGGAGTCATGTCTGTTCTGCTGTTTTTCTTACCTTCCCCTCTGCTCCTTGGCTTTTGAATTACTCTTAATTTCAGAGAACACTCGCTAGAGTGTTAGAAAATGAAAAGGAGAGAAGGAATGACTAAAATCAGTTTATTTAAATTGGTTGTATCACATACTTAAAAGATGCCTTGTTTTCTTTTGTTTTTTTATTGTGAGGTTTTTATTATGCTAAGATCTTACTCATATTTTCCTTTGAGTTGCATAGAGTGAGACAAGATGATGACTCCAGAAGGAGGAAAAAGGTTTTAGAAGAGAATTGCTGAGCTGTGAAGGACAAAAATTTTAGGAGAAAAAAGGAATTTAGAAATATTTTGGTTCCCAGTCCCTTCATTTTACATATTAAAGAACTGTGGCCCAGAGAGAACGAGTTGCTGAATTACAGATCTTGTACATGCAAGGCAAAGAGAACACTCCAGCTTTTCTGCCTCCCGTGTGCTGCGTGCCTGTGTGCTCAGAGGCACCAAAAGACTCGGGAGGGAGAGATTTGGGGCTAGTGCACTGTGGTTGGAATCTCTAACCCTCATTTACCTGCTGAGGCCTAGTGTTTTCATTTGTTCTTTAAAACTTTTTTTTTTCCATCTTTATTTTTTATTTTATTTTATTATTTTTTTAATAAATCTTTATTGTTCATATTATTACAAATGTTCCTCATTCCTCCCTCCCCCCCATTGCTCCCCTCCACCAGATTCCCACCCTACCCTCTGCCCTTTCCCCACCCCCCATTGTCCTCATCCATAGGTGCACAGTTTATGTTCAGTCTCTTCCCACACCCCCTCTCCCCCTTTCCCCAAGAATCGTCAGTTCACTCCCCTTCCATACCTCTGATTCTATTATATTTAGCAGTTAATATTGTTCACCATTTTTTAATTTCCTTGGTTTTTAGATTCACTTGTTGATAGTTACGCATTTGTTGTAAAACTTTATTTTTTTTTTATCTTATAGCATTAGGGTTGGAAGGGAGCTGAGGAGGATTTGATACCTACCTTTAGGGAGCTTATGCCATTCCAAATAAATAGGTTGGATTTCTAGGGAAGGAGATTTTGTGGACCATTCACATAGGAAAACGTGGTTTAATTAGAAATTACTTCCTAGAGTCCAGTCTTCAGGATTGTATGTCTTGCCATACATGAAGTCTGTTTCCTATGTGAAAGTCCTGGTTAATCTTCGGAAACCCTGCAGATACTATGAGGGTGGGTCTTTTATATCCCTCTCCCAGCTTTCCCCCCTTCCTCCCTTAAATACATGATAGATGGCCAGTTTTCAAAATTTTTGAGATTTTTGGAACATTCTCTGCTATCTTTGACCTAATCCCTGGTTTGCCTTGGAATGAGACCTAGACTCTCTGAAATGTTTTTGTTAAAGGCCTTTTCCGTTTTGTTACTTAATAGTCTTCTTGCTTGAGCCTTTCCTTTTTTTTAAGTCATCTTAAAATATTGATATTTTAAGAATCAGTATCATGTATAATGTATACCTTTTTATTCTTGGATATAATTTAGTATCTTTAGCAGTTTTAATGTTATATTTAACTTTTGTAACAGTTCTGATTTTTTTTTTTTTTTTTTTTTTTTATTTAACCAATTGCCTCTTTGCCTCATTGATGAACTCCAGATAATCTGATGGATGTCTATTAATCTGACAGGGTGGGCTATGGTGGAAGAAGGAAGGAATGTGTGTTTGATATCATATATTTTAAGATGGGAGAATGGGGAGTTTTCTGATAACCAGAATTCCTGCACATCTTACAGGTAGTTAATATTTGTTTGTTTTCAACCTTCTGATGACAATATGACATGTTATATAACTCCCTATCTTGGTAAACAGATTTTAAGAAAAATATCTTGACTATTTTATTCTGAATGAAGAATTTATACTGTGTAGTAAAGCTGGTGTGGAGCATACGCTGAATTTGTGCTGACCTCACGTAAACACTGGAACTTAACTGTCTTTAAGTAAATCTCTTTTCAGTTTGCTTGGTCTTGCAGTAGTTAAAGTCAGACTTTGTGGGTTTAGATTCCATCTCTGTGATCTTGGGCAAGTTACTTAACATCACACTAAAATAGTAATAATAAGGTTGTGAGTTAAAGGACATGATACAATGCCTTAGTACAGTGTCGGCACATAGCACAACACGAATGTTAGAGTTGGGTATTATCTTTTTCTGCTGAAAGGTATTTGACAATGTTCAGCTATACGAATGATGGCCGTCATTGTAACAAACTATCCCCACTGACTTCAGTGTTTTTTGATTTTTTATTAGTATTTATATTCCCTATATAATCTAAATTAACCATCTGTGCTGGAAAGTTGATAGTGTTTTATTTGATTAGTAGAAGCCCGATGCATGAAAATCATACAAGAGTAAGCCTTCCTTCCCTGGCCTGCTGGCACTGGCTTCTCTCTGGCACCCGGGACCCAGGCTTCCCTTCACAGCCCTGCTTTTGTCAGGAAGGTCATGGTCTGGACGGACACCTGGTCTAATTAGCATTTTGACCTTTTATTATTATAGATAATACTTACAATTCAGCTTATGCTTACGGAAAGGTGAGCAGATATTTCCTTATTGTCAAACCCAGCCTGTTGCCTCCCTGAAACGTTCAGTCTTTCCTGGAAATATTTCCCGTTGACTTTGGTGACATTGCATATGCTGTTTGGGTTCTCCTGCCTTTCTGATTTCTTCTCATCTCAGACTCTTCTTTTATGCTTGCAATGTCAGTTTCATTGCATTTAGGATCCTGTTCTCAAGTAGTGTTTTCTTGATATATTCTCTCCTTGGCACCATCATTTATCTCATAGTCCTAACAATAGTCTCTAAATCAACAGACTTCCAGCTGTATTTTAGTCACAGTAAACTTCTGAGCATGTCTTTGTACCTTCAGTACCCTAATGTCTACTTTTCAGAAACTTAACAAATATCTCCTTCCTTCAACAACACACATATACATTTAATCCCCAATCACCTTGACGTTACATGTTAATAATTAACTCTTTAACTGTGAAGTAATTTCAAAGACATTTTTAAAATATCTTAGTAGCATAGCCGCATAGTGATAAACCATGAAGTAACCTTGGCAAAATTAAGTGATCTTTTGTATACTGAAACCATTTCTCTAAAGAGATTAGTTTTTCCTTTGATTTTCTTTTAAAAAGTTCTCCAGTATTAGGAGGAAGGTCTTTTATATTGATAGCAATGATATACAAGGAAGAGTACAAGCTACATAAGGAAAACTCAGCAAGAGTTATTTAAAACTTTTCATTATGGGATATGTCAAACCTACATAAAACTAAAGAGAATTGTACAATGAACTCATACCGTTATCAGCTAAGTAATATCAATCTTACTTCATCTGTAGTTATACTAACTCTCCCCTTATTTCTGGATTATTTTAAAGCAAATACTAGACATCCTATTATCAGTAAATTAGCATTTATCTCTAAAATAAAAGGATTTTAAAAAAATCAAAACATTATTTCACATAAAAACATTAACAATGATTTCTTAATAAGCATAACTGATATTAATGAGTGGGGAATTGAGAGAACATTTTCGTAACAGGTACTCTACTGTCTTTTTCAGAGTTTGCTCTATAGCTTTATTTATTTATTTTTAAATATATATATATATATATATATATATATATATATATAATTTTTTAGAGTATATTTTATTGATTTTTTACAGAGAGGAAGGGAGAGAGATAGAGAGCTAGAAACATCGATGAGAGAGAAACATCAACCAGCTGCCTCTTGCACACCCCCTACCGGGGATGTGCCCGCAATCAACGTACATGCCCTTGACGGGAATCGAACCTGGGACCTTTCAGTCCACAGACCGATGCTCTACCGCTGAGCCAAACCGGTTTCGGCTATTTTTAAATATATTTTATTGATTTTTCACAGAGAGGAAGCGAGAGAGGGATAGAGAGTTAGAAACATTGATGAGAGAGAGACATCGATCAGCTGCCTCTTGCACACACCCTACTGGGGATGTGCCCACAACCAAGGTACATGCCCTTGACCGGAATTGAACCCCGGACCTTTTCAGTCTGCAGGCTGACGCTCTATCCACTGAGCCAAACCGGTTTCGGCTGCTCTATAGCTTTAAATGAAGTGATTAAAGGAAAGCCAAACTCCAGCCATAATAAGTTGACCTTTTAGTGAAATGCATGTTATTAATGTATTTAATGAGATGCATTACAAACTGCAGTGAGCACTATGTTTCATTACAAGTCCAAAATGCAATATCATTAAAGACCTTTAATAGAAACAATAGTTGACATTTTGATATTTCCCATAAGCAAAAAAATTCAAGAACACAGTATACTGTAATATGAATATAGAGGCAGTGTTGGAATTTTTTGCTTGCCTAAGAGTATAAAAACAAATTCCATTATTAATAAATCACATTCTGTTTGCTCCCCCTCATCTTCCCACATATGATTCATACTCATCTTCTCATCTCTCTGTGGTCCTTCCCCTGGCCCCTCAACTGTTTTGACTTGAATAGACTGAAAACTTTAATTCTTAATTGACCTCAACACTAATAGATACCTTAAAGTAGGGGTGTCGAACTCAATCAGAGAAGGGGCCAAAATCTAAAATCCAGCCTAAATCACGGGCCGAATGGTTTACTGAACAGTCATAAACTGTCATTGTGATGGAAATGCAGCGGAGTGCAGTGATGACAGCGTCGTGCGGGCCACATTGCAAGGCCTGGCGGGACGGATTTGGCCCGAGGGCCTTGTGTTTGACACATGTGCCTTAAAGAATAACTTTTAAAATTTTGAATAAGTCATGG